AGTATGATAGGGGATAGCGTTACTTTGTTTGTAGACTCATGCAACAATGATTATCTGGTATCTTCTGATACCTCAGGTACTAGAGACACGACATTAACAAGAAGACAGAAATCCCAGTGCTCAAGGACCTTACCTTCTAGAGAATGGAGACAAATACTATATATAAATATGTCAGATGATCCTGAGTACTAGTGGGTGGAGAAGGAAGAAAGCTATGGAGTCCTAGGTGGAGTCATAAATAATTCATTTCCCGAACTTGTTAAATAATGTATGAGGTTTACTACTGCTTAATATTTTAATAATTGAAACAGTATGGTGTGGTGCTTCTGCACCATGCCCACTACCAGTACTGGACCCAGTGCTCAGCTCCCCCATCTTTATCTCAAGATCCCCTCCCCCAGGACCCTTTGATTACAGTTTTATTGTCTGCATCTGGAGAACTGTCCAATTGGTGTTCATCTGATCAATTTGATTACCAACATGATACAATATGAGTTCCAGACTTGGTATTTTTTGATTCTTCCAAATATTAGCCAATAAGAATGAAGGCTAGAGTCCTTAATCATGACCCAGGGATGTCACTGGGTGGACTGGGTTGGTGAAGAGAATCTTCCATGCCTGTGCTCAATCAGCAAAGATTCAGAGATTTCTCTCTCTCTCCCTCTGCTGCTCTCTCTCTGATTGTCTCTCTGTCTCTACACACACACACACACACACACACACACACACACACACACACACACACACTCCACAGCAACAAAGCACACACATTTCTTCAAGCAAAGTAAAGGTACCTATAGGAGTGGACCACCTACTACACAAACTGTAGCGGAATCCCAGAAAGGGGACTGGTCAACCATGGGAATTGTAAGGTGACCCTGAGATGCGAAGCCCTACAGTTTTGTACTATGGCCTGAGGGTGCCGTAGGTGATATGATAGTCACATTGAGTGGAAATTGATCTGAGACTGGTGGATGATTGTCCGGTATGGACTGAATAACCCTATTGCTTATGCACAGGTGATTACCTATTGTGCATTTAGAAAAGCCCACTAAGAGGTGCAAGACTGCAATGGGTAATCTTGGTATAATGAGTGTTAATGAGGCGGAGATCATATCATGAGGAGTAGCAATGAGGTGTGTGAACTGAGTACAGGAGTCGGGCCATTGGCTCATGCTTGGAGTCAGAAAACTCTTGCTGTTCTTTGTACTTCTTATTTGTTTCCCAGGGAGTAGAACCACATTTGTTATCCTCTGTCTCCTCAACCTTGCCTCCAACTTACTTTCCCATCTCACTGTTGGCCTTTAAAATTAACCCCCGACTAAGGCTTCTAACAACAGGGAGAGAGTCCCTTGAGCACTTGGACAGTGCTCTCCACGGGGATGACTATTTTAGCAATGAATAGTAAACGTCACCTGGCCAGACCTTAGTCACCGCAGGCAACTGGCTTTAGACATCCACTTAGCATCACCTACTCATTAACCTACTCAGGTTGTCCCCGTTAGGACTTTTCACTTAGAACACCATTAGAGCCGTCTTATACTGTATTTTTAGCATCTTATATAAACTTCCCCACAAATGCCCAAGTTATATAAGCAGCCCTCCCCACCCCCCAGACTTTTCTCCAGCCTCTCAAAGATTTACAACAGAGGCAAGGAGAGAGAGAGAGAGAGAGAGAGAGAGAGAGAGAGAGAGAGAGAGAGAGAGAGAGAGAGAGAGAGAGAGAGAGAGACTGTTGAGGGGCAAAGGGAGATCCCTGCCTGTTGACTGATTTTGTCCACGACCCAGAGAAGAAGGGACGGGTTCTCGGGTTCTTCTCTGGCCGGGGCTGGGTGCGCGCCCACACGCGGTGCTACCGAGCTCTCCCCTTCTATTCTCAGCCTTCCCCTTCTGCAGTTACATTTCCATCAGGTGTCAGGTTGCCGAGTTCCCGCCCCGGGAGACTCTCAGCCTTCTCTCTTTGTGTGCAAACAAACCCCGGAGGGCTGCTGTAAAGGCAGAAGTCACCCGGGTTCCGGTTCCCTCCTTTCACTGATGGCAAAAGAGGCCCCTGGAAACCAGGTGATGTCCCAGCAGGTAGACGGGGCTCGCAAACTCCAGATCGCTGCAATCCCTCTTCCGCGTGGCTTGATTGAAACCGGTAGCTTCTTGGGTCTCAGCTCTCCGATAAATATAGCACGAGGAGTAAGTGAAAGGGGTCCTGGCCCCGCCCCCCATCTGCGTTGCATGTGAAGAGATGGGATCCGATTCGACTAAACTTTAGATTCTCTGGTTTCCAACGCGTGGACCAGGCTTGTTAGCCACCGAAATGAACCAGTTAAGAAGGCGTGCTTTTGCTTTGCTCCTTACAGCTTAAACTTAGTCTCTCTTTTTCAATGGTGAGAATGTGAGGAAACAAATGATAAATTCACCCACGGCAGAAAAAAGAAAAGGGGGAAAAAAAAAAGAGTCCCAAATACACATCTTTTTAGCTGACTCTTGTACTAGGAAAGCACTGTTACATTATTTTTAAATGGGAGTTTACCTAACTATATCAGGAAAAATCTCCTTCTGGAGTGGAGGGAGGGGGTGTGCGTGTGTGGGGGGGGGCGGGAGGGGCGGGACGGCAGGGATACGCAGGGAATGGTGGTGATAAGCATTTTCCAAATTAGGAAACAGATATGCTTTTCTTCTTACTCGCTTACATAACTGATCTATTTTAGAAGACAACACTGGAAAACTGAAATGAAATACAAATCTCATGATTTTACTACTTTGTGAGCAAAGACACCAGCAAGTAACTCTTGAAGGAAAAGAGTGGAGAGTTCCCCACCCCATCCGAATCCCGCCGAGGAGGTGGTGGGGAGGTGGGCGGGGCGGGGGGGGGTCCGGCGGGGCTGTTTTGCAAGATTTCCCTTTTCTCCATCTGAGTCGGCTGGGCTGGGTGAGTCAGAGACCAAAGTCCACATTTTAGAAAATGAATGAAGAAGAAAGAGAGCCTAATTTTCCTCTCCTCTGAATTTAAAGAGCGGTTGCCTGGGAGTGCGTGTCCTCTTTTGCTGGCACAGAATGTCTAAAGTGGGACCTGTCCTAAAGCCTAGGATTGTTTTGCTCCAGACTTCCTGATTCAGAGGGAAACTGTGCACACAAAGGCCAGAGAGGCAGTTCAGCCTCTTACATAAATAAGTTACATAAATGAGAACCAGTTATGTAAATGTATAAACCAGCAAACATGAATTATAGCCATTCACAAATGCCAAGGAGAGCAAAGCAAGATTCCCTCCCATGCTCCATAGCCACCCCTCCCCCCAACCCCCCCACTGTCCTAATTGTACCATTTTTTTTTTTCCACCCCAGAATCAAGCGGTGATTGTCACATCAGGGAAAGGAGTGCCCAAGGACAAATGGTACTTCTTTGTTTCTGAACCATGCATTTTACTTTTGGAGACATGCCTTAAAACTTGACTTGAACTACTTGCTAAGAAATTTGTGCATGTCTATCAAAGATCAATATCTTATGTACTCCTAAACACGTTCAGAATTAACTATTTATGGTACAAGGCACTGTGATGGAAACATCTCTCAAGAGTTAATGTAATGGTATTATATCTGCATATGTGTTGTGCCGCTTGCTGTGGTTTCAAATTTCAAAGGAGCATCGAGACTTAGTCAAGGAAAGTAGTAATTTAGGAGGTTAGGGCTAGGTTTAAGGTGATGCTGGTAAATGAATTCAAATATTCCCCCCCCCCCCCCAATGATTAGAGCTTTGTCCTAGTCTTGGACCCAGTAAATCTCTTATCTTTTCTAAAGTAACACAATTTGCTCATTGCATAGTAACTAAAGCAATTTTGAGCCTAATGGTCTGTTTCGAATTATAAGGGAGATTAATTAAAAGTTAGCAAATTTCAGACAGAGCAAACTCAAGTTAACATTCCACTCACCAGTTTTTCTTTTGAAAATCCGTGTGTACTGTTTCTAATACAATAGTGTGATGCTTTACATGTAGGTATTCTGAACCCCCTGTAATATTGCTGTGTGGTTTGGGGCAAGTAGTTTTCTCCTTGGGGGCCGTTGTTCCTAATCTTTGAAATGAAGTTAAGTTACTTTTGTGTCCTGCATTTGTCTATAAATATTTTATTATACCGAGAGCCTTAAACTCAGCGCATCAAGTTTAAGGGAAATCTAATCCATCACACAACAAGTGGATCTGTTATTTCTTTTGACTGCACAACAGCAGACCCTGTGTGGGTGGGCGGGTCAGGGTGGTGAAATAAGCTCGGGGCAAATTATCGATTCTGGTGTTCTCGCTTTTAAAACGCTAGATCCAGATCTGAGCCAATGGCGGGGCAGTGACGGGCGGTGGCGAGTAGAGCTGACACCTCGAGAACCTGTGGGTGTCCTCACTCGTGCTGGAGGGGGGCGTGGGGGGGCGATGGCGCAGAATTTTAATTAGGCGATTCAGCTGTCACTTGCCCTCTAGGGATTCCCCTGGGAACCGTGGGGGGGGGGGGGAGGGGTGCTGTTCCTTAAGCTGATTAATTCTGGACTGAAGTCAGAATCGAGCCAGTCGCGGTGACTATCCTGAGGCCTCGGCTTCTGCAAAGTGCGCCAGCGATTTGGGTCAGAAGTTTGGGTCGGAAATCACGAAGCGGCAGGTTCCGCCGGGCCGGGAGGGGGCGGGTCCCCATTCAGCCGGGCGGGTGTGTCTCGGGGAGCGTGGACCAGCGGGACCACAGTTCCCGGAGGCCGCGCGTCCGGCCGCGGGGCGCTCACGACCCAGGATTTAGGGGCGGGGGGAAGACCCTGACAGGTAGGGGTGCTCGGGGGGAAGTTGCGGCGGGCGGGGGAGGGGGCGCGGGGACCGGGGGGGGGGGCGGAGGGCGCGTCTCTCTCGGGCTTTGTTCGCGACCGGGCCAGGCCCAGCTCCGAGAAGCCAATTAGATCCCCGCTGGGGGATCATCTGACTCCGCGTCCCTCGCCAGGAGGGGCTTCGGCGGGGCGGGGCGCGGCCGCCGGCTCCTGCGGGACCCGGCGGCGGGCGCTGCGGGGGAGTCCCGGGCTCGGCCGCCAGGCTCCGCCCCGCGGGGCTTCCCGGGCGCGCGCCGCCCCGCCGTGTCCGCGCGCCACGCCCCCCTGCTCGCGGGCCGCGTGCGGAGCCGCGCGCCCCGGAGGCTCGGGGACCGTGGCGGGCGGCGGCGGCGGCGGCGGCGGGCGGAGCAGCAGCAGCCCTCGCGGGCCATGTCTTCTCCGGCCGTGGCGAGGAACTCCGCGGGAGCGAGCCGGGCGACGGGTCCCCGGCCGCGGAGCCGGAGCCGCTTCTGGGAAGTGGGCGGCGGCGGCGGCGGCGGCCGCGGCGAGCGGCTGGAGCGCGCGGCCGCCGAGTCGGAGCGCTGGGAGCTGCTGCTCCGCCGGGGCGAACTGCTGGCGCTGGGCGGCCACCTGAAGGCAGCGCTGGAGGCGTACGCGGCGGCGCTGCGCCGCGGGGCCCCGGTCAGGCCCGAGTGCCTGGGCACCCTGGTGGACTGCCTGGTGTTCAACTACCGGCTCCGCCACGGGCTGGGCTGGAGCGCGCCGGCGGCCGCGGCGGAGCCGGGCGCGGGCGGGCTGCTCAGCTGCTCGGGCTGCCGGGGCTTCCTGAGCGAGCCGGTGACCGTGCCCTGCGGCCACAGCTACTGCCGCCGCTGCCTGCGCCGGGAGCTCCGCGCCCGCTGCCGCCTGTGCCGCGACCGGCTGCCGCCCGCCGCCGCCGCCGCCGAGGCGAGCGCCCCGCGGCCGCCGCCTCTGGCCGCCGCCATCGCCGCGTCGAGCTTCCGCACCAGCGTCGTGCTCAACCACCTGGCCGAGAAGTGGTTCCCGGGCCAGCGGGAGCGAGCCCGGGCCGCCGGCCGGCTCGGGGAGCTGCTGCACCAGGGCCGCTACCGGGAGGCCCTGGCCGCCGCCTGCGAGGCGCTGCGAGCAGGTGACGGCGCGGGATGCGGCGCGCGGGCCCGGCCCACCTCCCCCTCCCCCTCCCCCACCCCGCACCCGCGGCCCCGTCCGCGTCCCGCCACGCGCGACGCCCCCCGCCCTCCGCGGCTCGCCGCCGGGCGCCCGCGACCCCACCCCGGGACGCCGCCCGGGCGGCGGGGCTCGGGGTCCTCGACGGGCCGGGAAGGGGGGCGGCGCCCCGGGGTGCTTCGGTCACAATGGGGATCGCCCTTGGAGCCGGCGGTGACGCGGCGCGGGGAGGGGCGCCCCGGCGCGGGGTTCCCCCCGCTTTGAGGCCCCAGCCGCGGGCGGGCGGGAGCACCTGGAGCCGGGAGCGGGTGGCCCGGGCGAGCGAGGTGGGCAGCAGCGGCGCGGGCGCGGGTGGGAGTCGGGTGGCCCGAGCACCGCTCGCCGCCGCTTCCTCTTTCCGGGAAGGGGCCGCTCTCGGGGGGATCCGCCGCGGGGAAACTCCAGCCCGGGAAGGGGTTCGAGGATCGCCCCCCCCCCCCGCCGCTCCTCCCCGCCCCCCCTCCCCGAGCCGAGCCTCAAGGCGTGCAACGTCTCCCGACGTCTCCCATAAAAGTCACCGGGGCAATTGGAAGCGGCGGGAGGGCGGAATTGCATAAGCGGGGGGTGGGGGGGCGTTGTGTAACGGGTGACGTCCGGTGGGCGTGGCGGGAGCGCGGCGCCCGCACCCCGCGGGTCCCCGCGCCGCGCTCGGGGCTCGGAACTGCCCCGGGAGGTGCTGGGCTCTGCCCCGCGCCGGCCCGGCCCGCTGGGGCGCCACGCGCGCGCGGGTTGGTTTAACCTGCCCGTTTCGAATCGCGCTCCTGGCATCTGCGGTCGGGCGCTCACTTTCGAATGCCCCGGGTGCCCGGGGAAGGCAGGGCGGATCGGAGTTTTAGTCTTGATCCTGCCCTTGGGCCCGGGCCTTTGGAGAGGGGCTTTTAGCAGTGCCCCGGCGCCCCCCTCCCCCAGTTCATATCAGTTTGGGTCTCCTTGCCTACAAGTAACCCTTTGGTCCTAAGATGCTTTTTTTTTTTTTTTGAAAAAAAAAGACAGAGAAGCAGCATTGCCCAAACTCAAACTCTGGACCACGAGAAGCTGGATTTTCTTTCTTAGATCCGCGTTTCTCAACCGGGGGATTGTATTGCCCTTCTCCCCGCCGGTCTGGAACAATATCTGGAGACGTTTTTGGTTGGCACCCCCGTGGGGGTGGTTGCTAGTACATCTTGTGGGTAGAGGCCAGGGAAGCTGCTGAACGCCGTCCAATGCACAGGACAGTCGCCCACACAGTTATCAGGCTCCAAACGTCAGTAGTGGCCCTGTCACACGCCCGCGATAAATAAGCGGTCTATCAAGATGAGTGTGTTGCCATGGAATAATACTTGAGAAGAATCAAGGAAATGTCTAAAATAGAAACTGATGTTAGGTGTTAAGTAAATTTATGATCTCACTAACAAAGTCTCTTCTTGAGCTCTTTCATCCTAAGTGCTTAGTCATTTCCATCTAGTGACTATTGTTATTTAATAGAGGTAGGGTTGAAATCACAAACCAGGCATTTTTCATATCCTTTCAGTATCTGTGTGCGGAGGAGGCAGTTATAAAATGGACGTGAATGATCGCCCGGAGCAAAAGAGAACTTGGAAATAAAAAATTTTGGTACAGACAACTCTGGGTAATTCAAGTACCAGTAGGGAAGCCTGACTTGGCTGTGGCTTGTACCTTAGCTATGACCTAATTCTAAACCCATCTTCAAGGTAGGGCTGTGAAGTGACTTACCCAGGGCCAGGCAGCTAGAAGACTCCAGTTCTAAAGGTTGGAGGAATCAGTCTTGTCTTTCTCACTCACCCACTGAAGAGAACAGATTTTCAAGGAAGCTTTTTTTTTTTTTAAAAAAAAACTTAGAATAAAGGATTAAATTTACGAGAAGGCTTGAATAAGATGAATTACCATGGACTCAAGTTATTTGACCTTTGAAATTGTACTTTTCATAAGAATTCGGGGTGTAATCTGTGGACGAAGAACAGTGATTTTGCTCATTAGAGTCTACCTTGGGCTGGAGGGATAGCACAGCGGTAGGGCATTTGCCTTGCAAGCAGCTGACATGGCCGACCCGAGTTTGATTCCTCCGCTCCTCTCGGACAGCCTGGCAAGCTACCGAGAGCCTGGCAAGCTACCCGTAATGTATTCGATATGCCAAACACAGTAACAACAAAGTCTCCAATGGAGACGTTACTGGGCCCGCTCGAGCAAATCAATGAACAACGGGAGGACAGTGACAGAGTCTACCTTAACATTTCATAACCAATAATCTTTTTTGTGTGTGTGAGAGGAGAAGGGTTGGGCCACATCCCCAAGGCCAGGGATCACTCCTGGCAGTGCTCAGGGGATACTTTGTGGTACCATCAATGGGGTCCACTGCCTGCAAGGCAAGTAAGTGTCTTACCCCTGTTATCTCTCTGGCCCAGTGACCAGTAATTTTCTAATTAAGGAAGATTCTTGATATTATGTTGAAGATTTTATTATCTTTATTAGGAAAAGAAAAAACCCAAAATAGGCTTTCTGTATTTTCAGTTGGCATAGACAGCACATGGGAGTTGAGCTACTTTAATCAGCTTTTGCAGATCTAGAACCCAAGTCTTCCAATTTCTGGTTCATTAACCCATTTCTCCTCATTTTTAGGTTTTTAAAAAATACATAAATTCCCATACTGGAAAATGGGTCTAGTACTAATGAGGATAGTTCTTTTTAATTCCTTCAATTTGTAGTGCAAAGCAGGAGGGGAGTATTACATATTTATAAATTGAAAGGCATGCATAAAAATAACATAAGTACACTCAAATCTATAGGTAGCCAATAACTTTTGAGAGTTTGCTAGGCATTTGAAATGTTTTTTTATGTAATTGTACAACTATAGTTCTCAATGATGCTTTCATTATTGTTGACACGAAAAAACCTTCACTGTAATTTCTTCATATGATTCTTAAAATGAAACAAGTAAATACTATTAGCTAGAAAAATAGATCTAGTCTACAGTTAGCCCACACACATCCAAATTTATCCCTGTCAACAAGAAAGGAAAGCTTGGAAACCTTTGCCAAAACCAGAAGTTTCCCATTGAGATTACATAAGTTTCTGTTGAATTGAAATATATTTAGATAACATTTAATCCATTGATCTTTTGGTATTAACTTTCAGATGTTTCATAACTTTCTGTCTTTTTAGTATTTAAAGGTATTATGTAAAAGTCTTTTCTGTATTGAATCTTGAGTCTATTGAAATTATCCCACTTTGCCGTTTCCCTTTTATTTTTAATGAGTTTTTACACTGTTTTGCTGCCTCCCTGTGTACAACCCCCTTCCCGCAACGAAGACAACAGAACAACCTATTTAATTTATAGGTTGAACTGGTATAAAAAATAAAGGTTAGGAGGGGAGAACATTTTATTTAAAATAGTTCATTAGAAAAGAATGGTCTTGTCATTAATTATATAGTTTGGACTCTTACCAGGTATTTCTGCATTCATCCTGTCATTTGATCTTCATGAAGAATACTGTGGAATACTATTTTCCTCGGAAGTTAATGAAGGGAACTGGTTTTGCCTTTGATTTTAGATATTAAAATTGAAGAGAAAGGTGCATTGTGACCTAATGCTTAAAGCCAGGCATCCTGGCCGCTGAATGTGTGTGTGTTGACTGAATATGGATTCCACTGCTGCTCCATCTTCTGTTTAGGTTTTCTTGCTTGCAAAGTAAAAGTACCTACCACATAGTTAGAGCAATAAGAACAACCTCTTAGGCCTGTTGTGAGAATTATGTGAATCCAAACAGGTAAAGTGCTTTGAGTGGTACAGAGTAAATGCCCAATAATTATCAAGCTATTGAAAATGTAAAAGTTGTGCTACAGCCAGAAGATTTAGCTAGAATTGAAATCTTAACCATATAATTTTAAGTCCCAGTCTTTACTTTCTACGACACTAATAATGTATATTACCAAAGATAGGTTAAATCCTGATTTTAGCCCCACAAGTTAGTAACACTTTTGCGTAAGCTAAATAAATGAGATTATGTACTTCTGCAAAGTTTCGATTAAAAAGAGTACTCAAATTATATGTGAATACCAAAACCATTTAAAGAAAACTGGTGGTAGGGTTTTTAATATGTTCAACTCAACAAGGTTAACGTGAAGAGTTGTGAATCTAATTACTAAAAATTTATTTCCTAACTTATTCCAAAGAAAGAATTTGAAAGGTAAACATTGACATTTATTTAATTTTACAGTTTGCAAGATATTTTCACTTCTGTTATTGTAACTGACCCTTGTAAAGATCCTGTGAGATAGGAGGGCAAATATTAGGACTTCTAATGAATAGATGAAGAGCACCAAGAATTCTAAATAAATTTTTAAGGGGCTCCCGGAAAGCCAAGAGCCAGCTAGGTGACTTGGGGACTCACCTAGTCCCCAAGTCAGACTGGGAGTTCAGACTGGGAGCTTGTGCCTACAAAGCGTTCTCTGGGCTCCAGCCCTCTCTCTCCCTGGGGGACTTTGACGATAAGTAACCAGGTCAGAAATGAGAGTTAGAAACTCACAGCTAAGTGTAAAGTTGATTTTAGCTGTCACATAAAAGATATTGTAATATCAGCATCAGTAACAATAAGTGCATTTCTGTGAGTGTGTGTTCAGGCAGAGGACTGTTACTGTGTCCTATTCTCATGGCAGCCCTAAGATGTAGCCATCATCATGTGGCAGGTGAGGAGACAGGGGTTCAGAATTAGGATCAGAAGTCAGGCCTCTGGAATCTAGCAGTCACGCTCCTAGTTACTAGATCAGAGTAGTATTTGAGCTTCATTAACCAGTCAATAATTAGTGGCTTTTCGTTTAACATGCTAACCAAGCCCACAACATGTACGTTGAAGTAATCAAAGCAAAATAAGAGCAGAAAAAAAGTTGCTCTTTTGAAATTCCTGAGCTTCCTCAGTATTTTTTTTC